CGCTTTTACGAAGCGTTTTCCTCTCCTTCTCTCACCTTTAAACATTCGTGCCCGCGCGCGTACGAAAGTGCAATTTGGCTTCTTCTTCCCACACCCTAATTTGCATATTTTCCTTATCTTGCTTGGCCACTTTTTTGCATTTCTGTTCTCAATTTTTACATTAATGTCGGATTTTTTCAATTGAATTTTACGTTTGTTATGCATTGCAATCTATTTTAGTCCGTCGTTTCATGCAGTTTTAATTTTCCGAAACTCTTTAAGTGGGTCAATGTCATAACCTGATTTGTCTCACATTGTCATATTCACGACTTTATTAATGAATTATTTTCTTTTAATTGATACTTCCACAGTAACTTGTACTGCCATTTTTTTCAGTACATTTAGTGCTCTTCAATAAAATACCATGAAGTATCTCCACATTAAGATACAGTATAAGTAACGAGAAGTAGCTAGAGTGTGACAGAATGCTAACAATTAAATAATTCATAATCATGTAAGATTAATAGATGAAAGGGATACAGTTCAAGTAGGGCATCAGACGAATTTGTAATATGCACAGAATTACACAAGAGAACATTATACAGGTATTACATAAATAATGATGTTAAAGTAAATTCTTTCGCTTTTTGCATTTTTNTTTTTTTTTTTAATTTTTGAATTTTTTAGTTTTGATTATCTGTTTTCTCTTTTTTGCTTTTTTTCGAATTATTGAATCCATGTTGAGAACTTGTTGATGCGATCCTTCTTATATTTGTTCGATGGTTGCTTATGAGTCTTCGATGTCCATCCTATCAAGCTGCCACCGCTGACCATCACTTAGCAGTAAAATCCGGTGTTCACCGTTTCTTAATCATATTAAATGTTGTCACTGCTTAATTATAACCCCAGTTGAAGAGCTGGCATGCTACTCGCCCTATGACTCCTCTCCGGCCTTTGGGGTTGATTAAGGTATCCGAAAATATTCACAGTTTTCAGTATGAAATTTTGGGGCACTTAGTTTCACTGAGAAAACAGTGAGTAGTGAAATTTTGTAATATTTATGCAGTGACTTCGACGGTATAATTAACGTAAGCATTAGCCCATTAAGGGTTTATACCGTTTGATATTTTTCGTATTCTTCCACGAAATATTGGTCCCAAATTTTTTGATCTCAACCATATTTTGGTCTCAAATTCGTAGTCAATGGCAGCCAACTTTCGTGTTGGATCTCCAGTTAGGTTTTAGTTGTCGATTTCTGTTGTTGAAATTGTAGTCCATGTGCTATTAAGATGAAAAGGTACAAACAAGGGAAAAGTAATAAATGAGAAACAAAATTCAGTAATCGAAAGAAACAATATTTTGCATAGTAAAGGGATCAAATACTACAGTCGAATTGCCCTCAAAGCATCCGTAAAGATGTAAAGAAAAAGAAAATTCTACAAAAGAAAGTGTACGAAGAGAATGGGAAACAGTTAAAAGTATTTAAACGTTTGTAAAGGAATACATAGGAAGTAAACTACAAAAAGAAAAATAAACTGCAAAAAACATTTGAAAAACAAAATAATTAAATGAAACACAATTTTGAAGCATTTCTAGCCATCGAACATCTTAAATATATAATAATTATCATTAAATCATCCATAAAGGAATACGTAGAAATGTTATCAAAAGTAAATAGTGCTGTACCCAGAAAATGGCAGCTAACTATAGATGTGGTTATCATTTAGTTCATTAACACTGTCTTAATTTAGATATTATTGTTGATATATGTTGTATTTGCTAGGTTGTTTTATTCATCTTATAATTGTGCAGATGACATATATTTATGCGGTATTTGATCTATATGGCTATTGATGGGTACTCCTGTAGCTATTAATTATCGTTATTGTTATTATTAATGTTCTCAATTTCACTATGATCATTGTCCATTTCATGTCAATTCTTTGTTCGTCTCATGATTAAATTACAACACATGCTTTCATTGCCATATGATATATTCCATCAGCTATAATCCTTTATCTAACTCAGTGGTTTTTCAGCCTGAGAAGCTCGCACCTCTTGGAGATGTGAGATAAATTTTCATTTTTTCCATCAAAGTAAATTTTTATATGTCGAAGTATTCATCCATGTTTTATGTTTCAGAGTCCATCCTCGCTTACTTTATATACGCATACGCGTATATAAAGTAAGCGAGGATGGACTTTCCTTACTCTGCTCGGGGAGATACAATGGTCTGCATCTCAGATCTTCGAATAAGATCAGATAAATAACTGATTTTGTCTTGATTAACTCAAATCTCGTTTGCCGGGAACTTCTTAATGAGACGCAGACCCTCATTATAGGAGGAGATTCGAATATGAGAGGGTGTGCTGCATTCCTCCTATAACGGCGAATCGTAATGTAATGACCATCTCAACCGGCCAACTTGCGTACCTTTCAGTTTAACCCTTCAACCATGAGCAGCTTCACTGATATCCCCGTGAGCGGATTGGAGAAGAGATTTTTCCCGTAATATTTCCCATCAAAAAAACCGCCGAGAGAGGTTGAAAATATCCCTCATTTC